CATTTTCAGACAAAAAGCATGGACTATAGCCCACGGTTTTGATTCTTTTTTTGCAGGTGATCTCGTTTCGAAATCTGCAAAGGATTATTTATCAAAGAGAGCATGTTCTATTTCATAATATCTCACGGTTATCAAAACGGTGGCTGGTGACTAATAAAGAGAACACTTCCCATTAAACCCGACTTGTCGTTGATTCCTTATATCTCTAATGAATTCTTAATATTCTAAAACGAGGTAGTGCCTCTACTCACCCAGTATCTTAAATCTCTATAAGAGTCTTCAATAAGTCGTTCCTGTTCACCTCGGACACTTCTAACTGATTTTTCGGCTTCATCAACGATTTTGTCTGCTTTGTTCCTTCCTTCCTCGCAGGAAGAAAACACAACACCCTGCATTTCCTCTGCGTCATCAACAGCTAAATAAATGAAATACTGGTATTTCTGATGTCATATGATTTAGCAAGCCCAGAGAATAACAATAGCAAAAAAACAAAAACAAAAACAAAAAAAACGAACCAACGATAGCATACTGAAAAACCTATCAACAGCAATAAACCACACAACCATAGTTACAAATGCTAAATATTGGAATGGCTTTAAAGTAACTTTTAGCTAAGCCCATTGACCACGGTAAATAAAGGATATTAATAGAGTTTAAGATTCTCGTTTACGGCAAACGTGAAACGTCGTCAGTTGAGCATTAAAAAATTATTTTAAATTAGTGAAAAGGAATCGCAAAAATCTCCAAGTAGTAGATAAACAAAAGAATACTTATCCTATTGTCGAGAAAGTTTGCAAAAGGTAAAGTGAAATGTAGGGAAACGATGAAAACGTGGTCACGTTTGCCGTTTGCGGGAAGAAAAAACGGGAATCTTAATCTGCCTAATAGTTTTCCCGAGGTTGCGTGGAAACTGGTGACGAGTACCACGCGCGCTGCATCATGGAGCTGTTTAGGGGCACCATTGTTTTAGTATTGCGGAACCCTTGGCATGTTTTCTTGAAAAACAGAGCGTAAGCCAAAGTAAATTTGACTCCATTCAAAAACTAAAAACCCCTTAAACGTAAAGAACAATTGGCGTTCCAATGATGCAGCGCGCGCGCGTAGGCCATTAAACTCGCTACCTAAAGTTGTATAAAGAAATAAAGTTTCATGTACGAACCCTTATTTATTCTATCAGCTGTCTCTTTGGTCATGGCTGAAAATCTTTTAGCATCTTCATATCCCTTAAGATAAGTAGTAAACAGTTTGTCGTTGGCTTTTTTTAAGTTGTTTTTGATGGAGATCTCGCTGAACACCTTGATGTGGTCAGAAATATCAGCATTTTTGGAAAGGAGATCTTTATGCACCGTGTTTGCCAGGGCAGAATGGACCTAAAGTAGAGGAGATACTTCGTTATCCTCATCATTGGTATTATCGTCAATGATCATCCCCATCCCCATCACCATCCTCATCATCACCACTATAACCATCATCAACATCATCACCATCATCACCATCATCATCATCACCATCATCATCATCACCATCACCATCATCACCATCATCACCATCATCACCATCATCACCATCATCACCATCATCACCATCATCACCATCATCACCATCATCACCATCATCACCATCACCATCATCACCATCATCATCATCATCATCATCATCACCAATTAGAAATTGAAAACACGGGCTTTACTTCTCGATTACTTTGCCCATTTGCAGTTACTCATCCATACCTGGCTGTAGATGAGGTTATTTTGAAGCTTTGAAGGTGTGTTCAATATCTGTCTTGGCATCATCCTCATTAGAGCATTGGCGTCTTCAAACTCTTGAGATAATTCACCTATTATTTTCTGTAAGATGTGTGGATCCTCATTCTCATCTTTTCTTGCTTCTGACTAGAAAAATTCAAACAACTATTGGTTCATTTTTATATCAAGCAAAAATAGTTTGATTGCCTACTATAGAGCAGTTTTCGTATGACTGCGAAAAAGTCGGTGCCGTATGCGTGACTTGCAGCGACCGTGATCTTTCCTAGAATTTTGATTGGGGGATTTTTTTTCCTCCACAATGTGATTGGTCTGGCAGTGCCGTGACATTGGCGTGACCGTGTCCGCGCCTTGTTCTCAGCCGTGATTCGGATATTTGATTGGATGAGTGAATTCTCGTACAATGTGATTGGTCTGGCGTATGCCTTGCCGTGCCATGACCGTGTTCGTGCCGTGAGCTTCCCATAGTCATGCGAAAACTGCTCTATATTAGACGACAAAGATAAACTTAACAAAATCATGAAAAATCAATCAACGGTGGAATTGGAAGAACAGAAGGGAAGGGTTTGGAAAAAAACTTCCCAACACTTTTCCATTATAAACCCCTTGTATGTGATGTCAATGCAGCTCAATTTGGAGGACAAAACAAAAGAATTTCAATCTCCTGAGAATTGGAAACCTATTGTTATGTCCTCCTAATCTAGCTGCATTTCGACGTGCTGAATGAGTCTATTCTGCCAATTCACAATTAGGTGTCTTAAAATTATAACTGTACAAGGGGAGGATTTTCAATGAAAAAAACATTCTTTACAATAACTGGATTAACTGTTTTGTTTTGTTTTGTTTGTTTTTTGTTGTTGTTTTGTTTTTGTTTTTTGTTTTCGTTTTTGTTTTTTGTTGTTTTTTTTTGTTTTTTTTGTTTTGTTTTGTTTATATATTTGTTTTCGTTTTCGTTTTGTAGCAACGAATGAAACAATATGGCATTTCTTCTTCTATTTCAAATAAATCACCTAATGCAATGGGCTGCAAACCGTCTGGCAGTCTTACCCCAAGTAAAGCCGACTTCTTCATCAGAGAATCTTGGAGGTATACATCGAGTCCATTAAAAATCCCTTCGTTTAGCTTGTAGATTTTCCTTATTTTCATCCATGCCTCCTTGAAGGTATAAGCTATCTCTGTCGTGTTTTTCTTCAGTGATTGTACTGTGTAATAGAAAATTGGCATAGAAGCAAATGGGAATTTGAAGATAGGCCCGGTTGTACAAAGGGTGGATAGCGCTATACCACTTATAAATCTTATTCAGGGAATAAATGTATAGAATATAGCATCGACTTATCCACTGGATAAGAATTTATTCGTCGGATAGCGCAATCTACTCTTCGTACAAGCGGACCCTGGAGTATTGTTACAGTCCTTCATCAAATATTTGAAATATTACGCACGCGCTGATTGGCTTGATAAAATATTTGAGATATAACGCACGCGCTGATTGGCTGGCTACCGTGTTTATATGAGAGGACAGAGACCCTCTCGTTCAAAAAATATTTTATAAAAGCAATATAAAACGGTTGCTTATGTCTCTGTACTGTGATATAACGCTCTGGAAGTTGTAGGAGGGCAGATCAAAGCGTGTTCATATCACACAGTATCATATAGTTAGGATAGTACGTGCGCGCTGATTGGTCAAAAACTGTGCTTTATTAGTGAACGGAGCACAGTGCTGACGTCATCCGCGCTCGTGAAGTGGTGCTATATCCAGCGACCGTCTTTCTTTTTGCGTAAATATATTCAATACCAAAACAAAATTTGTTGAGTAGAAAGACATGCGCGCGCATTTTATATTCCTTAAATAGTATACAGATGATTAAGCTAAGCATGATTGATACCCAATAATAGCATTTCACATAGAACGCGCTTATTACAACTCACCAGCTGCTAAGGTCTCTTCGTGGGATTGTGAAGTGAAATACATTGATGCCAACGGGTTAAGAAATCTTTCCGAGAAAAAGGAACGCCTGAAATTGATTTAAAAAGTATAAACCATCGAAATAAGGGCTGGAGGGCTGGAGGGCTGGAGGGCTGGAGGGCTGGAGGGCTGGAGGGCTGGAGGGATAGGGGAATGGAGGGATGG